ATTTCAAATAATAAATAATTGATACATTGGTTGCGAATTATCCGTGATATCTGTAATAAAATTCGTCTTCCTCATCATTGAATCAGTTAAATGATTATTATTTGATGCTACAATAATCTCGTTTAATACAGTATTATTGTTTTTTGTCCTTCAAAGTCTTTAATAAAATATAATTTAATTTCATTATTTCCACTACTTATAATTGTACTGTCCAAAAATTTATAATTTTTGGTAAAAAAAATAAAAGCACTTATTCACTTTAAAGATTTAAAAAAATAATTTGATGGAAATATTCAAACCATTAAGAAGCAGCAAAAAATTGAAGACGTTGTTAATTTCAATCTCCACTTTTACTTCAATACATAATACTGTCCGGATTAGACATATTTTATCCATTATAATATTTCCTCCATATAAATACTTGCAAAATGATTTTAAATTCGATAGTGAGTCGGTGATTCATTTCCATGCCCTTTGAACTTTTTCAAAGAATATAGAAATGAATCACCGACTTCAATCCATTCTCATTCTCAACAATTACTGTCAATTCTCTGCGGGATATTACTGGTACATAGCGAACACTCGTATGATCGAAGTTTATGAAATGGGTGTGTGGTGCTGGTGTGCCTATGGGTGGGGGGGACGGAGGTTAGGGGGGAGGGGTGATAGGTCATTTGTTGTTGGACAAGAATTTGTATTCATTTCATATGTGAGCAAATATAAAGGTTGACAGATGTGGATTGATCTGAGTTTAGGAGTTTTCGAGGTATGAGTGAGACGAAAAAATAGGAAAAATTAGGTGATTTGAGACAGTTAACTAATTGGGCTAAAATAGAAATTCGTATGACATTTTGTATGACTTGACTCTCACTCCATATAGCTTATATCACTTGACGGTATTGAAACCTTTTACATTGCATTTCGTATAATGGCTGTAGCACTTGTATGCTAGTTTTTTTTTTTCTCTCAGATAATGCAAGTCTTAATTGATTAAGTCAGTGACGGCGACTATTTTTATCTTGGATGGTTTGATGATAAAGACGGATTCTCTCGGCAACTTGAGATTCCGACTTTTCCCGTTTTCCGTTTTTTTTTTATCATTATGAATGTGATAAATTTGCTGAGCTATGGAAAACTTGAAGGATTGTGGAATCTTTATTGTTTCAGAAGTATTATTGAGTTGTCCCGGATGATAAAAAGGGCTTTTGTACCAGCAACAAGTCGATGACTATTGTTTTCATAGGTCGCGGTGTTTTCAATAACATTTATCCTGCACTCATTTCTTAGCTACATAATTAGAAATTTTTTATTTGAGTTAGTTATGTAAAATGTATATCTAAAGCAAAATTTTCTGTTCCCTTCCAGTCATAGCTACGCTTCCTTGATTTTCTACTCTTTTAATCTGTGTGCGTAGTTGTTTTTTTTCATTTTTCATTCTTTTGATCGATGTCTTTTATTGTCTCATTTGTTTTAGTTTTTGAAGTGTTTTTGCCTCCACTTTACTCTTTTTTTATTCGTGCTCCGAAAGTTACATTGCTTTGCATTTTTTCTCTATTAGTTCGGTATAACGATGTTAGCTCTCCAATGAACGATATTCATATTTTTCATAGGTACTTTTGCGTTTTGAACTACAACCTCTATTTTGTCGTCATTTTTGTGCATTCCAATGCCGATCGAGAATGTGGTCTTGGTAGTTTTACATTAGTTGATTTATTGGAATCATCGCAATTTTCATCGCATAATACATTTTTCGGTCGTCCTTTCTTTTCCTTAACATCGAAATTCACAGATAAATTGCAGGATAAGAATCAATCAATTTTTACTTATTGACTATGCAGAACGACGAAGGAGCACTTGTTGAACTATACATACCGAGGAAATGCTCCTCATCATCGCGTATCATTGCAGCAACTGATCATGCAGCAGTGCAGATCGACTTGGTCGATGTAGATCCTAAAACTGGACGCATGGTACCAGGAAAAGTTATAAGGTATAGGTATAAGTGCTTTAATGCGAGCATATGTGTCGGTTGTATAGTCTCTCTTTACAGTTCGTGATAATTTTAAGAAGGAATTAAATTATTTCCAGATCAATAAATTTTATTCACTAGAGAGATTAGATATTTTTGTTGCAGAAAACATAGTTGTATTTTTACTGCTACTTTTAGAAACTGTTAATTTTTGGAGGAAGAATCTTAATGTTGAAGGATCATATAAACTAATATTTCTCTATTGCAGGTACGCGATCTGTGGTGAAATTCGATGTATGGGTGAATCGGATGATTGCATTTTGCGTCTTGCAAAACGCGATGGTTTGATACCGAGCAGTTTTTAAAATTTGAAAAGTCATTTGAAAGTGATGTTCGTTCTCTTTTCATTGTTATGTTTTGTATGGTGTCATAAATTATAATAAAATGTTCATTGTTTTTGTTGTTATGCATTATATATGAAAAATTGGCGATGGACGCTAAAGAATTCAAATTTTTTAGGTCCTCTTGTGTATTTCTGGATGGTAGAATTGTCTTTTGTGGAAGTTTTTTTAGAGGGAATCGAGCCAGTATTTTGCTTCAGAATTATTAGGATGGAAGTGTTATACAAAATTTTGGGTGAAGGTGCTGAGTCTTGAACTTCTGAGTTGCATGCTGAACGCATGCGTTGTTGTTGAATTAAATTTAAACGAAGACTCATATTTAGCCTGGGTCCGCGGTGTCAGGATACAGTGAGATATAGATTCGCGGAGAAAGTTTACTACTTTACTTCGTGGTCGGTGAGGCGTTGTAAACGAAGGAGTGCAGTAATTAGAGCTGATGAGTTTGATGCGAGTGGAACTGCTAGCTATTTTCAAGAAAATTCATTGCATGTGTGGAGGCAGGGAAGAATAGTTAGTGTTGAAGTAATACACAATTTAGAGGCTCGTAGAAATTAGTAGTTCCGATTTCGATGATAAAAGAAATGCGGAAAGTTAGTAATAATCGGCTTTTTAGCTATTTTCGGTGAAATGATTTAAAAGACAATTCAAAGATTCATCTAATCTTATTTTTCACTTATTGAATTGCTTGCTAATTCATCTTGTTTTTTAACGAGGTATTAATTATAACAATGATAGGATCGATTATTTGCTGTAACTCAACCTTGAACTATTTCCACTTTCATATCCACTGTTTCGTGTGAAGTGTGCATGAAATGAAATGTATGGTTCCTTAAAATTTGTGATGTTTAGTTCTTTATAAATGTACAGACGAAAGATCATATGATTTCTCAAATTCACTGTGTTTCTTCAAATGATATCTCTTACAATTAATCGAAGTTCGGGTGTTAAACGGAACAACCAATATAATGTAGTTGTAGAAAGGTCAAGAAGGATGAAACGAATATTCAGGTAATATGTCGGCTGACATGTCTCGAATAACAAATATGATGACATTGCATTCAATCAACATTTTCTTTAAATGATATATTTGGCTTATAGTATATGCTAAGAGTACTTTCCCTTAATTCTTTATGCATATCATTGTTTAGCTTTGATTCTCACTTCGAATTTTGCGATTCAATATTAAGCATGGATTAGACAAGTTTTCAAGTACTGTTTCAAGTTAAGCGTATTTATATTTGTCAAAATGAAATCACTGCTACCTTGTAGTGTTTTAAATTTATCATTTTTTTTTTTGCTGCTGATGCTAAATTCTCAAATTAACACTTTACAACTTTTTCATTTCACTTGTTAAACTTAACTAGCAAAATATTATAAGAGGATTTTTATTGACCATGTGCTAGAATGAAGTTAGGTTCCTTTAGTCATTTTCTTTTTATGTCATTCTTTGTCATTCCATTGTTTTTCATCTGCATGACCTATGACAAAACATTCATGTTCATATAACTTTATCATTCTTTATAATCTGATGTCTATTTGATAGAAAAAAGCGCAAAAATGTAGATCTTTCTACTACAAAAGTATAAAAAAAAGTTGTAAGAGTTATGTTGGTTGTTTATTATATGCCGCTTTATACTTTTTATATTCAGTCGCACTCGGTATTTTTTTTTGAAGTAACAAATTTGAGAGAAATGTTGAATTATTTTTTAAGATCATATTTGGATGAAGAGAAGATGGTTGAATGATGGTTGATTTGGTAAGAGAAACTGGTTTTAACAATCAACAAATATAACATGAAGTTACGAGAGCACATACCTTTCATTCTTCATAGACGCCAGCTATCCGTTCGTTTTGGTATGTCATTTTTTTTAGATGTATATGGTGACAAATTACAGTATATTCAATCAACACTTCCCTATAGTGTTATGTTTCAATATACGCCAAGAGTACTTTCTCTTAATTCTACTTCATGCACATCATTTTTAACATTGATCCCTTTCCTAATTTTGCGATTCAATCAAGTTTACTAACATTGAGCATAGATTAGAAAGGTTTGGAAATTAAACGCATTTACATAAATTCTGAACTTTTGATAAGCGATTTTTTGGTGTTTTTTAAATTTTCTCTTAGCATTATAAAGATATGTGAAAAATTGTAATCATAATTTTATAATCGGTAAACGCTTTGGAAACTGTCTTTTTAATATCCTCCATTTGTAAAACCGTTTTAAAATTACTGTAAAATAATTTGATAGTTGAAGTAATCATTCACCGTTCAATATTTTAGGGTTTTCCTTTAAAAATCTATTACCCAGAAGATAGTTTTTTTTTCTTTTTGCTCTTCCGATGAAAGTCATCTACTGTTCAGTTGTAGAAAAAGTATCACAGTTATGACATTGCTACGAAGAGCGGTAAAAAATTGAAAAATACAGGTTCCTGATCAGAATTCACAGTACTGTCTACTCTTTTGTCACTTTGGTTTGATTTGTACTATTCTCACTATCTTTGTTTGACAATATTATCATTTCCACCAGAAATCGAAAGGTGAAAATATGGTAGGATAAATTGTAAGCATTGACAAAATAATACACATAAATGACAAAAGATTTCTTTCTTTTGTCACTTATCTGCATTATTTCATACCTTTCTCCTCTTTATTTTTCTCCTCTGCGAACTAATTTTATACAAATTCCTCAGCTTCTCTTAATATTAATTTCTGCAATTTTGGAGAAAGTATACTAAAAAAATCAAGTGGAAACTATGATGACGATGGCAGTGATGGACTGGTTACAAATGAGACTGGACGTAATTGACCTGATTGTTTTAATTGTCCTACTGCTAACAACGGTCTATTATTCGTGGAAGTTATGGATCGAAAAAACCACTAATAAGTTCACATCATCTGTTCTGCCATCATACACTTCTTTTGGAAGTTCGTTTGATCGACAAACTTCATTTGTTGCACGTATGAAATCGGAAGAGCGAAAGGTCATCATTTTTATTTTTTTATCAAGTTGATTTTTTACGAGGTTATTTTTATTCATTTTATTGTCCATTTCTGGATCCTTTCTATTTGAATTACTTTTATGAGTAGGAAGTATTTGAAGATTTTTAAAATGACTTTGCAAAATTTTTTTTGAGATATAAAGTTTGCTTTTATTTTATACTGCTTTTTTCTTAAGAAGTCAAATTAATGGAATTTCACGGTTTAAAATTATTAAAGACAAGTCAAGAATTCATTACTCTTTCCGTTCCTCCTTTATAAACTTTTCAGTAATCCAAGTTGGCATTCAATATCAAAAATCAATTTTTTGTAGGTCATAATAATTTACGGCTCACAAACCGGAACAGCTGAAGAATTGGCAGGCCGTCTTTCTAAAGATGTTCAAAATTACGGTCAGAAGGTTTGTTTCCTAATATAATTATAAATAAAAATTGTATCAGCTTCTTTTTTCGTTTTTTTAAAAATATGAAAGAAAGGAAAAAAGGGCTGATTTTTTTCAGAATTTGAATTCGAAGAGGATGAAAATGAAAAAGCAACCTTGAGTTGTTAGGCCTTTCAGTTTTTAATTTTCTACAGTACTGTTCTACAAATACTTTGCTGTGCATATTACGGAATTTTTCAGGCTCTTTTACTCGACCCGGAGGAAATGGATGTTGAGGATTTTGGAAAAATCAAAGAAATTCCCGGTGTTCTGCTAATATTATGTATGGCAACTTATGGTGAAGGCGATCCGACAGACAACGCACAGGAATTTTATCAGCATATTTTGAACACAAATCTTGATTTAACAGGCGTTAATTTTGCTGTTAGTTTAATGATGTTAGGTAGAACTGAGTAGCAAATTTAACATATTATAAAAATCTTGCAATGCCCTAAATAGAGAGAACTTTTATAAGTTTAGGCTGCACTGCACAAGTTTTGCTCTGGGTCGTCCATTCAACTTTGGTTGCTTTCTTAACAAGCATTACTCTTAATATGTAATGTTGAGTATGTTTAGCATAAGGCAGATTGGTTTGGGAATGGAATTTTCAGGTTTTTGGCTTAGGCAATAAAACGTATGGACATTTCAATGAAATGGCGAAATATTTCAACCGACGAATGGAAGAATTTGGTGCCACGCGTATTTACGGCCTTGGCTTAGGTGATGATGATGGAAATCTGGAGGAGGATTTTATGAGGTTTGGTGTTTATGTTCACAAATTCCAAATCTGCTGTTTGTTCTCTTCGTGTTATTTCCTTAATTTTTGTTCCTATTGTTATATTTCGCATTTTATTTATATTACTTTTTGAAATGTCTTGCGTATTTAAAATAATATATTGTGAACTGCCCTTGAATTGCTTTAATTTGCTCTTCAAAAATCAAAAGCTTTTGTTTTTAGGTGGAGAGAAGGCTTTTGGTCAGCTGTAATAAATATTTTTGGCTGGGAAATTGCAGAAACAGGTTTAGTACGGCAATATCGCTTTGAAATTGTGAAGGATTTCTCGGTCAAATTATTTACTGGAGAATACGGTCGCCTAGGATCATTTGAAAAACAAAGACCGTGAGTTTCTCATTGTTTTTTGAAGTTATAAAAGGTTTTTGGGGAATCACTAAAATTAAAATTATTAAAATGAATCTTTGATTTTTGATTTTTATTAAAATGAATCTTTGATCTTTGATTTTTAGACCTTTCAATCAGAAGAACCCTTTTATTGCTACTGTTAGCGTTAATCATGAGTTACACGGTATAAGCAGTGATAGAAGTTGTCGTCACATCGAATTTATTATCAATGAAGCAAGGATGAGGTTGGCTACTCGAATTTTCGGTTCATTTTTGGATTTTCAAAATGTCTAGTTTTTGACAAATATTAAACTGTTAATAATACTGCAATAAAGGGGTTTTAGATATGAGGTGGGTGATCACTTAGGCGTTTTCCCAACAAATGATCCGGTTTTGGTGGAGGAATTAGGACGATTGCTTGATGTTGATATGGATCTACGTTTCAGTCTGGTTAATCTTGATGGTATTGGTTATTGTTTTGTTGTTCATTGAAATATTCTTTTTTCGTTGCACTGGCAGAATGGACATTTTTTTGAATCTGTTTGTAAAATTTAGGATTTTTGATTTAATTGTCATTAAAGCTTCTTCCAATGTAATGTTGCTTTTAGAGGAAAATCTGAAAAAAAATCCGTTTCCATGTCCGTGTACAATAAGAACTGCATTCACTCATTACGTCGATATATGTGCACCAGTTAAATCCAATGTCTTGAAAGCTTTGGCTTCTTTCACAAATGCTGAAAATGAAAAGGAACGTCTTTTATTGTTGAGCACGGCGAATGAACAGGGTTTGGTAAGTTTTTAGAAAAGAATTAGTTTCTTTCGAGTTGTGTTGTCAGGTTTCTCTCGCCTTTCCAGGATTTTTCATCCTGAAAACAAAGTTTTATACTTGCAGAAAGAATATGGAAATTATATTCAGAAGGAAAGGCGTTCTATCATTGATATTCTTCGTGCATTCTCGACATGTAAACCTCCAGTTGATTATGTTCTAGAATTGTTGCCTCGTCTTCAGGTATCTTTAAGATCAGTTTTTGGTTGTTGGTTCCAGTTATTAGCATTCTCAAATAATGGAAGTCGTTCATGAAATTGCACTTATTTATTGTATTGGGTATAAAATTAAGTTTTTAATCCTAAATTTCGATGTTTGGTTATGTGATAATTTTGATGAATAGTTACACATTTATGTATTGCAGCCACGTTATTACAGCATAGCGTCATCATCCAAATATAGTCGTGACTCGCTGGCTATAACAGTTATTGTAACAAGATATATGATTGGCAGTCGTTTAATCAAAGGAGTTTGCACCAATTTTCTGCTCCAAAAAGTTATTTTCTTTACTTTCTAAAAAATTTTTTTCTTTGTTTGCTTTCTTACTGATCCACATTTTTTTAACTTTCACTTTTCCGATTTTTGAAAACGAATCTTTGAAAATTTTTTAGAACATAAATTTGTGCATTTGGTTTGCTATCTCATTGTATGTATTGATATTTGTTATTTTCTATCTTGGTTTATCGGATCTTTTCATTTTCCATTAGATATGGTTTATTACACTTTTTTGGAATCTTTAAGACTCAATAGGTTTAATTTTTTTACAATTTTCATTGAAGGGTGAAGGATCCAAAGTACCGATATTTGTTAGAAAATCAACAATGCGACTGCCACATCGATTAAAAACACCGGTAATCATGATAGGTCCTGGGACAGGTTTTGCTCCATTTCGAGGTTTTCTTCAAGAGCGCAGCTGGCAAAAGGAACAAGGTGAAAATTCATGTATAAGAAGCACTAATTTCTGAAATTTAAATTTCTCCTTTAGCAGTTTTTTTCTTATTAAGAATATTAATTGATTTGCAAAGGTTCATTTAAGCTTAGCTAACTAATTAAGTTGGAATTCGTAAATTCTGTCTTACCCGACGATTATCTTATCTTCTGAAGCATTGTTGTTTAGGCCAAGACATTGGACCGATGACATTATATTACGGTTGTCGACATCCAGAGCATGATTACATTTATGAAAATGAACTGAAGAAGTTCATTCAAGATGGTGTACTCTCTGAATTACATACTGCCTTTTCTAGAGTCACTGCAAAAAAAGTAAGTCTATATCTTTTAATTTCATTTATAGAACATTTAAAGAACTGAGAGCAGTTCTTTAAATTCAGTAATCATAACATTGTAATTAAAAATAGTTACTTCAGGTTTATGTGCAAGATCAAATTTGGAAAAATCGTGAAGCGGTATGGAAAGCTGTTGAAGATGGTGCAAATATTTGTGTGTGTGGGTATGAGTTATTATTTTTTGACTCATTTTCTCTTCATAACATGAATTAATAAGTATTTTGATAAGTTAAATTTGTTTATAACGCTCATCAAACTTTCTCCTTATCTTTTTTGTTGTTTATATAAGATTTTTTTAATGAGCCTTTTGTTCTATTTTAGCGATGCACGCAATATGGCACGTGACGTGCAAAATACATTTATGCGAATATTCATAGAGATTGGCGGGAAAACTGAAACCGAAGCGCAAAAATTTCTGAAAGATTTGGAGCGGAAACGATGTTACCAAACAGATGTCTGGTCTTAATATATCTTTAAAGTTATATTTGTAAAGTTTTGATGTTCAGCTTGTGCCTTTTTATATTCATTATTGATTACATTCATATGATTATAAAGAAATCTTATCTCTTTGCTTCACTTTTAGAGCAATCCAATAGTGTTAATAATTTGCAAGGAAGCTATTTTTGCGATATGAGACACCACTTCTCCCTAATTCGTGCAGAAAATCAGTTATCATCATAGTGAATTGAAATGCTTCCGTTACAATGCTGAATCCGAATACCTCATATACAGAAAAATACCTCGTATATGTTAACATTTCAATAATGAATGTTGTGATGAAAATAGAAGTAGGAACAGATTTTAACTCAAATTGTACCAATTTTTCACATACTCTAATAATAGATGAATCGTACTAAATGTAGCAGATGTGTTTGCACTCAGTATTTAAAAAATACGATGATTATCCATTTGATTGTTGTAAACTGCTTTTGAGTGCAGAGTGTGAAATACAAAACAGTCACGTTTGTTACTTTCTGATTGTTTTCCATGCATTATGTAATATATGGAAAATTATTCCTAAAGTGAGAAACAAAATTAAACACATTACACAAAATGTCCTTGTCATGTACTTCTCCCTTTCCCCTTCCAATGCACTTCTCTCATTTTCTCATTTCTCATTCGGTTCGATATTTACAAAAACATTAAAGCCAGTTAGTAAATATCATATTACTGTGTTGTCTTGTTATGTATGATATCGAATTGTGCAATGATCATTTTTGTACGTTCGATTTGAAACGTTAACAGTTCCATTATGGAAAGATCTTTATCAGGCAATCTTTAGTCTTCTAGCTCCAGTTATTATTATTTTGAGTGAATCAACAGGTTATTTACTTGTCCTATCATAGATGACATTCATCTATCCACTTCAGTTTCTACATCTACTCCATAATAGATCTATGTGACGTTTTTAAGCTCCCCTGAGGAGAGAAATGCTTGAAACTGTTCCTTGCTTTCCATCAGGCATGAATAGATTTGCATCTCATTAATCAGTGGTATTGTGTAAGAGTATACGTTGACCATTGGTCAATTGATCTTCGGTAATAGTACACACTGGTCATCCCGTGCTTGATTTATTGCATTATCAATCGTATTGACTGCTCGTCACTTTAATGTCTCCATAATTTGGCGATATATTTCTATTGAGTGAATATTTTGAGAGAGAAAAAAGAAGATAGAATGAATATAGCGATATATAGAGAAAAGTGTATTTCTCATTTCATTTCGAGAATTTGCAAACCGAAGTGTTTCATTTTTTACAAAAGCTACGATAAAAAGTAGTGGAAATTGCTACGATAAAAAGTAGTAGAAATTCAAGAAATATTTGACATTCATCGAGAATAATTTCTAAGTCTGAAATTATGCAACATTTCGTAGGAATTTCTTGCTTTCTGCTACTGCTCCATTCCAACTTCCTATTCCACACTGTTCACTGTTCATCGAGTGTATTGTATATAGCATGACTAGCAAAGATTTTTCACAGCAATCATCGTTCCTTGCAATTTTCAGTTCATTTGATTAGCCTTCTCAGACCGTTATTGTTAAATATTGTTAAATAAGGTTACGTAGTTTTGAGTTTGATATTCAGCATATGGAATACTTTTCATAAAGCTTTCATCCGATGACACATGTTTCAATTGTCATTTCATGCGACCTCAATGTCACATAGCGAGATTTTGTGGAAGCTGTAAAAGCAGCAGTACTCATGTTATTCAGGTGACGGAAAAATAAATTAGATTTGGAGAGGTTGGATTAGTTTTATCATAATAAGTTTCAGGAAGTTAAAACCTCTATTCTTACCACTTCTTCACTAAAGTCAGTGAAAGGCTTGGAAGTATGTCGTCTGGTTTGAAAGTAAAGGAATCAGTATGGTGTAGAAGTGAAAGTGAAGAAGTGGAACCGGTGGTGTCATTTGCCGAAATAATGAGCGAAGAATTGGCTGAACAACTTGAGGTTTACTTTATTCAATTTTTTTTTTATTTTTTTCAAGTGTATTGATTAATATATGCTTAAGGCAAAACATAAGGACACAAAAATGCTTACATTTGCACACTAAATGCTCATATGGATATTTGCTCTTTCAGTTTTATTTTAAAAATAATCACCGAAAATACAATGAAAGTGTGCTTCGAACTAGAAGAGTGCAATAGAGTGCCTGGCACTTTCGAATCTTTATGTTGGATCTTTCCCATTCAAAACATACTTTTCATTGCGTTTTAATGATAATGCATCTATTTCTCTAGATGTCTACTTGAGGTCTTCTCAGTACTTTAGTGGCTGCATAACATAATTTTTTACTCTCTCCGAATAGTATAAATATTTGGACTTTCGTTAATTGATACAATAAACCCATGGATAAAAGAAATGATTTGGACAATATTCTTTTCTTCTTGTTATTAGAAGAATGTGGTTTGTGATCTAAAGCAAATCGATCTTGTATTTTTTTTCTCTTGAAAATAGATAAAAAGGAAAAGTTGATTGCATGCTGATTAGCAATTGATTTTGCTTACATATTTGTGTATGTAAAACAAATGATATATCATCTGGTGTTTTACTTTGTAAAAATTGCTGGATTGCTTTCCTGAAATTTATTGATTCTTTCAGGAAGAAGATGCAAACGGTCTCGATCCGTCCATAGCACAATACGGATTAAGCCCCAGTGAATTGGCACAATGCAAGAGTGATCTAGAGCTTGCTAGAAAATTGCAGGAAGAATTTGATCGGGAATATGAAATGAGTTTAAAATCGGCAGAAGGAAAAGAAATCGAGACAAAGAGTCAGTTTTTCAAATATAAATTTTGTTTCCAAATCTTTGGATGAGTGTTGAATTTTTTGCGAATGATTAGTGTTGCAGTTGAATTCGGGTTTGAGCGTTACCGTCCTTCTTACGACAGTGATTATGATTTGGAGGAGGAATTGAGTGAAGACGATGAGGATTTACGAGAAGTCGCTATTGATCTTCTTTACTGTATGTTGATTTATTATTTTTGTGTACAATTAGAATTCTGGAATTTTCAGGATAGAAACCATGGGTTATTGTGTAGGAAATTATGAAGGAATTTAATTTAAAGTTGCATAGTTTTATGCAGAAATACTGAGATTAGCGAATTTCAGCAAGGCCAAAAGATGAGTTTCCGTCGAGCGGCTACATACGTGACGCTTCGGGACATTTAATAACAAAACATGATAAAGAAATTGCTGAGAGACGTAATTCCGAAAAAGTGATGCACGTTAGTTTTAATTAAATTAAGTATTACTATAATAAGAATTGCTTATGGAGCCATTATATTTGTATAGTTTCTTTAAATTCATAATAACATTTAGTTTTAACATTTTCTTGGTCATACATCTTCCTTTGTTTATAGTTTCCTATTGATATTCCCACTGGCGATGTAGTTGGTGAAAAGCTGAGTAACAGAGTTTATAATAAACTACGTAATTATTGCAAAACTGAACAGAGAAGGAATGTTCGCGTGAAGGTAAATTGAGTTCGTTATTTTTTCTTTTGAAATGATTCAGTTATGAGATTTTGGACTCTTGGAAAAATAATGGAAATTTGCAGAAATGTTTTATAAAATTTTGTTTTAATTTAATTCTTTTTTTTCAGGATAAGGATGAAAAAGCAATAAATGAATTAAGCTTGGACAGGGTCACTCGCTTGATAATCTATAGATTTATCACTACTGGTCTTTTCGATATAATCGAGAATGTTATTGCAACGGGCAAGGTAGAGTTTGTAAAAAGGAAAAAAGGCTATGTTAGTTAATATAAAATGGTACGGAAGGAAAAAAAGATTTAAAGACATGAGAACTATGATTTTAGTCGGGTGCTTCTTAGTGAGTTTCACATACTACAACATTTCATTCTTTCTCTCTCTCTCCATTTCTACATATTTCAAAAAATTTTGGGATTGCTGAAGATATATTTTAAAAAGTTTTGGGATTGCTGAAGAACCATCTCCAACAGTCCCAAAACTTTTTAAATCCAAAAATTCAAAGAAGAAGCAGATAAAAGACTAAAAGGCAGCGTACAATGACGACGTGTAATTTCTTGCATAATTTGATAATTCCGTAAATCTACCTACTCTAACTTTTCGAACTTTTAATCGAAAAATGATTTTTTTGCAAACATTGAACATCAACGCAAGGAAGATTTGGATTCAGGAGTAAAATCAGATTATTGTTCTCTCTATTCTTGAAAAAGTTACAACGTGGGATGAAATTGATGATATGAAGCATTGGAAAAGGCAGATTACAATAGTATAAAGTATTTCACATTTGTTCCCTGAAGAAATTAAAAATTAGCAGCATTCGAGATGAATGTTTTAAATATTTTAAGATATATCCTCTTTTGAAGAATGCTAGTTCGCTGTATGGCTTTTTCGGAAATAATAGAATGCTATAACCGGTCCATATACTTTGTATGCTCTGTTAATTATCGGTAATATGTTTGGTGTAAAGCTGTGCCAAAATGTTTGATTGTTATACTTTTAGAAAATTTAATTAAAAATTGGGTTTGAATGTAGGAATCGGTAGTTTTGCATGCAACAGCACATGCCGATGGAGTGCGACTTTTGGAAGAAAGACATTGTGCTTTGAAAGTTTACAAAATGACATTGTCGGAGTTCAAGAATAGATCAGAATATGTCCAAGATGATTATCGTTTCAAAAATCCACGACGAGTGTTGCGGGTTTGGGCCGAGAAGGAGTATACAAATTTGAATCGGCATGTTTCATTCATCGTTGTTGATTGTTTAAAGCTTCTAGATGAATTAAGTCCTCCATGATTTACATGTATAGAAATGATGAGTTTTAACTGCAACAAACTACGTTAAAGAAAAGTGCATTAATGTTCAATTGTGTGTGAAGTAGAATCGTTCGAAGTTTCCCATTCCGCAATTTTTTTTTTGGTCTTTGAATAAAAAGCCAAGGCAGTGCATAGGTTGAAGAAGGATCTGAAGTTGATAACGTCACGGACTGAGGCAGGAAATATAGCTTCCGGGGAGTCAGTTTTTTTCTGAAGAGACAAAGTAAATTTCCTCAAGAAATTTGTTTTAATTCTTTTCCTGTGATGGATTTTCAATCCAAGAATGATTATGTGAGTTAGTCGCAAAAAAGTAGGACAAATTAAATTAGATACAAAAAGAAAAATTGTTTTTCAAGCTTTAGTCTATTGTTCTCTAGTCTTATTAAAAGACCTTTGACTAATTAATTTGATTTTTGTTCCCCGTAATCCGAATCCAGAATTTTTTTAAAGTAGATTGTGCAAACTGAAGATGAAGTATAAAAAGTGCAAATAAGTTTTACTTGTCTGAACCATGTTTTTAAAGCTTTCTTTAACCATGATATAGTGTAATGAAATAGGGAGGCATACATTGTGGTGTATTGAGAATAATGGAGGTTGTGCATATATTTTGTGCCCAGAGTGAGAATTATTTTAGATTTTTAAAATCTAATTTTGAATTTTAATCAAGTCATGATCATTAGTTCTCGAAAAATGTGATTTTTTTTAAGGATGGTACGAGCAGGTGTAAAATGTCCGAAACCAATCCGTCTTAGAAAACATATCATGATCATGACATTCATTGGCTCCAATGGTTTTGCAGCTCGCAAATTGAAGGACACCGAATGGAATGATCAGGAAACTATTTATGATACATTTTTGCAAGTGAAAACGGTTTGTCTTAGTCAAATTTTTGTCATCTTTTATCAGCTTAACGGACTGGAGATAAGAACAAATTGTTTAAAAATTAGACTTTATATTTTGTCCGTTATGTGCCATATATGTTTGTTCATACGAAAGCTAATATACGTTTCTTATAACCCAATTATAACAATTCCTTTAGTATTTTGTTGAAAATGGTTTTCATTCCACTCAAAGGAGATGTTTAAAAAATACGTTAAAAAACGCAATATTTCAGGCGATGATCAAAATGTTTACTGATTGCAACCTCGTACACGGTGATCTCAGCGAGTTTAATATCCTTTATCATGAAAATGATGTTTACATTATTGATGTCTCACAGGTTGTTTTACTGACTAAATTGTGAAGTAAATTGAAATCGATTTTGATGAAGTACTGTTACCGTATCAAGTTTTAAATTACATTTCTTTTTGTAATAAATGATTACTTCACATTTACAATATTTTGTTACATGAATTTCAGCACTATGAAGATTTTTTTCGAATTTCATTAATAAATCTTTCAAAAATAAAACCTCCGAAAGAAATAAAGAAATTTATAAACATCGTTTTGATTTATTTTTTAAAAACTTGTTACAGGCGATGGATATCTCACATCCCCGAGCATTGTATTTCTTATTGCGTGATGTCGACAATGTTTTAGAATTTTTCGCAAAATTGGGTACCAAGAACTTACCATCAGCAACTGAGCTGTTTAACGAAATTACTGGTCTGAATATGGATCCAGAGAAAAATCTCGCAGTGCAGGTTATTTTGTTCGTCAGCTTAGGCTACATTTTAGAAATATTTTCATTTGTTTTTATGTCGTTAAGTTCCACTGCAATCATGAGGCAAAGATAATTTTTCCTTTGAAAAACAAAATCAAGAATAAGTTCGGAAAAATCGGAGAAAACTGCAGAAATGATCATTTAATTTGCACGTAAAATCACTTTTTTTTTAGAAATCTTATCTATACACGTTAGTTATCTTTAATTGGATATGAATAAATTAATTGTGAGTTTTTTGTAGAATATTGTTCAGAGGATTCTGAGAACTGTTCATTTAATAATAAATGGCATTTAAGAAATATGGCTTTAACTTTCAGGTTGAAAATTTTGAGAAGGACAATCGCAATGTTCAGTTACGCTGCGACAAAGCAAATCCGGCTGACATGGAGCTGCGTATGTACAATACTGAAGTTGCTGAAACACAAAATGACCCAGCAGAATTATACAACTAAATACTTTGTAGTTTATTTTCACTATCTGACAGAAGTTCCATAAAATCTTGTAGTAAGCAAATTTGTTGGCTTTGGTCGAGAGGTAATCAAAAATTTTGAGGACTATTTAGCTGCACTGAATACTGCATGTATCTGAAGTTGTACGTTTCTTTCGTTTAAAATTTTTTGAAAATTATGCAGCTATTAATCAGTGAAACAGCACTTTAACTTCATTTTCTCTATAGTAACTCTTCAAGCGACAGGGATTATTGAGATTGCACCTCTTTCTGCTTTTGTTGTCAAAAACAACATGGCTACAGTCAAGTGCTTTATCATGTCTTTTATCTTCGTATATCATCGCTTTTTTTTGAATACTGGAATTGGATTTTGATTTATACATGTTGTATTTACTACTATAATATATTCGTACACGAAAATCTATCGATCTAATCAAGTGCGCTGATCAGTGTGATGCTTTATTTTAGTTTGTACTTAAAAATAGAATGAATGCTAGAAGTTGAAGGATAAAGCATCGATATCTAAGTCGTACAGTACAATCTCTGAACACTTAACTTGGTCGAAAGTTGCGGACAGATGATGTGTAATCTAAAAAGCTGATGAGCATATGTTATTGCACATGTGGAAATTGAGTTTGGTTAGAAACTCATCAGTTTACACTTCGTTAGACGAGAATTGCTGTGAGCGGCGCCGAATTTAGAAAACAATTTTTTCAGCACCCAACATGGATCAAATGTGCTTGCCTCAAATTATTTCCGAACATTCATTAGACAACCATTATAAACTATATTTCCCCCAATCAGTGCGTCTCATGTCTTATGATAGGCAGTAAACTGAGTATCTTCATTAAAAGAAAGGACGAAACATCATTATACAATGATTATAAACTATCAAGGCGATCAATTAATTAGAATAGAAGGAATAGCAGACAGAAAGTCACGCCAAATGGATGTGCATATTCGAATGAAGAAATAAGGAAGCTGGGAAACTATAATGTGATATTTCAAAAAGTAAAAAACATTCCAAACATTCAGAAAAATATATCCATGATAGATTTTAAATCCAAAATCGAAAAACTCATCAGGCGGTCACATGCATAAAAAAAGATGAAAGGATAATAGTAAATTGAATCTGTTCTATGCGCTATATAGACTTCTACGTCCAACAGCATTTCGTAATTACACGCAACAGCACTTCATAATTACACGCAAAACTGCCATGACCTTTGCAGCACTGTCGTAATTTCACATAATTTTACTTTAAGCTTTAAAAAAGTGTCGTACAGAACAGAAATTAAATAACCTCACAAATAAAATTTCCTCAGTTTGATTCTGCACCTAAAGAAATTCTAGACTTGAGCGGAAGACTTCTGCGTAAATTGAATAAACTACTGAGAGAGTCAGGGATGGAAAGTACTTTCTCCTGTGTACGCAAGCATAAAATGACTAATTCTTTGAAAGTGCTTTTAATGCATAAATTAGACATATTTTGAGAATGTAACATGACTTCCTTGGAAAGAAGTAACCTTATGCACTTAACTACAAGGTTTTAAAAAATTAACAGTAAAACAAGTTCATACTTGCAAAATACAGCAAAATTTAAACTAGGTTAGAACAAACTCAACAGCAGTGACTAAAATTTGGAAAACCGATTATTTTAGTAAAATAAAGATTAAACATAAAGCAACAAACAGATGCTGATGAACGATCTAAATTACCCGTACCGGCACATGGACTTCACTGGGTTTGAGCGGCTCCATAAACTAAGAAGTCTGAACCATAACCATAACGAACAACTTCAACTTTGTACTGCCCAACCGTGATCTATTTGACTATCATACCGAATGTATGAGTCATACAAAATTTGTTCGTTATTGCCTTCACGATTTGCATCCTAAAAAATCATTTCACCTAACTGACAATAAAATTTGTTAGATTAATAGATTTCATAAGTATTAAAAACTTAACAAATGCACGCATAGTATCAGATGCAATTTAGAATTAGGAATCTGTTGATATATTTTGACATCCTAGATCTAACTAACAACGCCTCGAACCTTGTTTTTCTAATACTGGTTAATTAAGAAACTTTAAACTGCATTCTTTTCAACCCGCTGACTTCTACAAACCCCATATTACTCCATGCGTTCCTCTCAATGCCCCACTTTTAGCCTTCCATTGTTTCCGAGGGCACCGAAAGGTTTATTCAATCGCGAAATGAGGCTAGACACTTTAAAGTTTACCATTCGTCATCAACGATAATTGACATCGCCACTGGTTTATTTTCAACATATTTTTGTAAACATTTAGTATGGTATCAATAACTGATCCATGCTGTCTGCAATTCATCAAAGTCCCTATCTGGCGCAACATGTGATAAAGAAATAAAGAAACCGTAAATTTCCATCTATGAAATAGATGGAAATTCACGATTTCTGGAAATGGAAATTCACAATTTCCATCTATTTCATAGCCAGAAGACCTACCTACATACTTCTGTTAAAAATTAAAAAATTTACCCGACTCTGCAAAAATTGAATAACGATAAAGAGTGCGTCTACAATCAAAGCTGATTCAAATAACTCAACCTGTTCACGGGTCTCTTGGTGAATTTCATTTTGTTGTTGTTGTTGCTGTTGTTGTTCCTGCTGTTGACGCTCACGTTCCAGCAGTTCTTGTTCTTCCTTTTGTCTTTTTCTATAAAATTCAGTTCATAATCATACGGCAGTAATAAAAATTCATTAAAAAGTCATTTTTAAATCTTTTCATACAATAACCAACCTCTGACGCCTTTGTGCATCTCTCATCGCATTGTACTGGCGTCGTTCTTCACTACTCATTCTATGGTACTTCAATCGAGCTGCTTCTGCTCGTTTTGCACGACGGCGTTGTGCTTCAGCTACCTAAAAACCAAAACAACTTCACTCGCACAAAAATTTCCGACTTCCAAATACAACCCATGAGTTAGGATTTGCTTATTCAAACATAAACATTTCAAAATAGAGAGCGCACCTGTATCATTAAATCTGCGTCCAAAGTAGTTCCGGACATCTGAGCTCTTTCGGCCATTCGACACAGTTCATCATCTCTCATACGAGCAGTCCGCAAAGCTTTAGCACGGCGCGCATTGAAATTGCGTCGCTCTTCAGCAGACATGTTGTGATAACGTAACCTGAGAATTCCATTTTAACATAGAAAAGCAAATAACTGATTGGGAACATTAATATTGAATTTAAATCAAATCAAACTGGCATTCCATGCATCATACAAGTTACCTTGCCCGCTCTGCTCGCTTTGCCCTTTGCATCTCTAATTTTTGTTCGGGAGAAATTCCTGTTGTTGGCCCGACTGATGCTGCAGTCGCAACTGCCAAAATATCTCGTCTACTCGGTGCCGTATTCATATGGCGTGGACCAGTTACTCGATATGGTGGTTTTATTTCCGTCTCGTTTATCATCGGTGTTGCTGTTATTGTAACCTGAAAGTTAACAAACATGCCCGATATCAAAGAAAATTAAAAGGGACAAACAGCCTGAATATTTATTAAGTGAAACAACACAAACCAATGAATGGGATTTTACAAAACTTACTTGTCCTGGCGGTAGCATTACATTGCCTTGTTGCTGTTGAATTGCAGCAGCAGCAGCAGCATACATTGGAGGGCGACCGCGTGAACGTCCATGTCCACTCATACTTGAAAGAACAGCTCCGGTTGCTTGATTCAAATCGGTAACAATTATCTAAATTTTGCACGTGATAAAGGAAAAACAAATTTCTGAAAATTTTCGAAATCTCATAAACACCATGGAAACAAAAACTTTAACTTGAAGTTTCTACCTGATGCTGCATCGGTTGTTGAGGCTCTTGCAAAGTTACTATAATATGTTGCGGTTGTGTCTGTTGTTGCATGTGCTGTTGTGAACCTTGTTGCTGATGTGCTTGCAGTTGTCCATGAGCATTAACTTGATTTTCGCGTGCCGTATGCCGCGCATCATCTGCACCACCGCCTTCCTGTACATTGTGCAACTCAGCAAGCTGCGGAATTATCTGTTGTTGCTGAGTCATCGCAACCTAAAACTTGAAATTAAAAAATTTATTTTACCTATGCACGAGGATGGCTACTTATAACTTGACTACTTTACATAAACTTAAAGACTGGATGAAGTTGGGAAACTACTTTGTCTCGGTCTTTTTTTTTTATATTTTCATCATACAGACATAAAGATGATGAAACGCTCTAGACACTTCCATCATCCTGTAGGGATATCACAGCAATCTATCAAAAAATTTCTGCTGGTGTTATTCCGAAATTTATATCTATTTCCATCCGCAATTTTTTTCTTTCTCTAATTTTTTGAAATCAGATGAACCTGCTACTAATGCTATACATGTCACGTTCAAAATTCATAGGCACATGCCTTCACTCTTTATTTTTACTTTAGATACTCCGTCATGTGATGTATTTCCGTAAATATATACTTTTTTGAAGCTCTTTGCCATTTTCATGAGATTCTCTTCTTTCCGCAGTTTAATGTAAAATCTAATATTTTTTTTAAATATATATGAAAAGGCATGTGATTAAGTTCGGAAGTCACTTGTTTGAATCGACTTATTGTGACAACCTTTTGTGCCCGTGTCTTCCTTTTTTAAACTACAAATTCTATTTTTTTTTCAAATTCGAATGTATCTATCCTGTTTTTTAAATATTAGGATACTTAGGCGAAAAAATTTCACGAACTTGATGCGATGTTTCTCCGTGATCATGGCTGTTGCTGTGCTGCTGCTGCGGCAAACCGAGAAGTTGCGGTACTGATGCTATCTGGAGTGGCTGCTGTGCGGTGCCTAACAGTTTACTCGAATCATCAACCAGTGTTAGAGTATTTGGATCAGCACTAATAAGTTGTTGTGTTATGGCTGGAATATGAAATACTTGTTTCCCATCCTCTGTTGTTGTTGCTGTGGCAGGAATATGAAATATTTGTTTACCATCTTCGGTAGTTGTTGCTGGGATAACTGTTTGAGTACCGTCAGGATTTGTACTCACCTACAAAAATTCTTGGTAATATCAAAACTTACAATTTTCTACAAATATTGTCACATTATGTAAAATCAGCATCACTACATGTTAGTTATATGACAATGCAAGTTCATTATTATGTAAATTTACATATTAATATGGCTATGGAGGCATTTTAGTTTAGTTCATTGCTGATCACTTTACAACTATGTTTGTTTTTTCGGAAACAAGTTTGTATATTCCTACTACACAGCGATATAGACAAATTTTTGGAAATTTTGGACTTAGCAGATTTCCACGTGTTTGACGTAAAAAGCATATAGCTTAAACCACAGGAAGTTTATGCGACTGATTTTAATAGAATAATCCGATTGCAGATATCGTAAGCCTCTTAGGAAGACTAATGCAAAAATACTACCATAATATGAACTGCATTTTTGGATTATATTCAAAAGAATTGGAAAACATACAATAACGAACTGTTCCTGCGGTGGAAGCCTTTTTTGTCGCATTAGCACCATGTTCGCTTGTCGCGTCCGTTTCAATACATCTCTTTCGAGAGTAGATAATACCTCTTCGCTAACCACACTATCAATCACTGGCTTCTGTTCCACTGCACTATTGCTACTGTTAACTTGTGCCGAACTTTCATTTCCATTTATAGATGATGACAAGCTTGACATGGCATCCTCTGAAAAATTAAATTTTGAATTTCGAATTATAGTGATCACAACGCTGTGCGCTTTAGAAAACTTGTTGCTAAGCTCGTAATAAAAATCCGATCTCAAAAGAATCCGAGCGAGTTACAAGAAATAGTCCTTAATGTTTAAAGTTACAGAAATAAACCTGAAGCAGCACGCATCACTCGTTCACGTTCTTTTTTTGCACGAGATCTTTTTTGATTATATGCTCGTCGCTGTTCTGGCGTCATTCGCTGGTATCTGCAATACACTCTTAACTGATGAGATCTTCATGCCGGAAGATAAGCAGTTCAGCAACTATGAAATACATCAGAAAAAACCATAAAGAAATAGTTTTTTCTAATGCAGTCAAAGCAGCACAATAAATGACACACTCAATTACTAACGAAAACTTCTTAGCCTTATTCAGAAAAAACAAAAGTCTGAAAGCCTAGAGATATTCTACCAAATAATGGGCACTCCTTTAAGCATCCCCAGCTTCTCATTTCAAACACAAAATACTAGTACTCTCTAATATCCCAACTGATCACTAATATGTTGATCACAACTCGGACGCCCCTAGTAATGTCACCTGATGATCCCCTGACTGATGATTTTCAGGAAAAATGTACTTTTCGATTTCTTCAGTACCCTTATTGTTAGATATGTATGCAGAGCTGCTTTTTTGCCACCATTTAGCATTTGCAGCTTCATCACCCCTGCAATCTTAGAGTTCGAAATTTTATGAGCGACATTACTAGAGGCGACAGCTTAGAAGTACGACAACTTAAACTATCAATCCAAAAAAACTAGGTTTTTGAAAATTTAGGCGTCTGCATTTGCTTCATTTAAATTGCTAACATATAATTACCCTCCTATAAGAACAGCGCGAGTACCTTAGCTCTAAGTTTAATATCTGACGACTACTATGTGCACTCAGACTTTGTAATATCTAAATACTCAACGTGGATAGCCGTTGTATATAAAATAAATTTATATGAAACTGAAATTATCAAAATTTATAAGTGTGGAAATTTATACCGTAATCGAGCAGCTTCTGCTCGTTTAGCATTACGTAACATGATTTGTTGTGCTCTATTCAGAGCCTCCGCACTTATACGACCTGCTGGAGTAGACAGTAAAATTTCTTCCTCAATACGTCTGCGACGGAAAGCTTCTGTGCTGAAATTAAGAAATCACTTACGATGAAGAATTTAGTATTGAAAATTTCAGTAACTACCAAAATCATGAAAATTGATGAATTATATAATGCGGAAAGTTCTTTTGGTAGATATAATATGAACCGCTTTGCTTGATTAATTTGCACCAATCTAAGAAATCATTTATAATACTTCATGTTCTCGGAAGCAAAAGCTGCGGCTTCTGCAACTTCTATCACAATTCCAATCTGCTGATTGGAAATCCTCATTTCCATCATCCATGCACTATTTCTAAAATGTCGTAAAAACTTGTAGAATTACCGCCTCTGATTATATTGACGTTTCTCTTCATCAGTCATTCGATGATAACGCAATCTCGCTGCTTCTGCCTTTTTTGCATTTTGTTCGATGATATGTTGCCGCAACTTTTCCTCGTCCATGCCGTTTTTCTTTGCGCCTTAAAATAAATATTCTTTCACACAACGAATTACGAAATATAAAAATTTGCAGACAACTTGATATGAAGCATGAAGTGGTTTTGTCAACCAGTAATTGAATAGCAAAAGCTTTAACATCTGAACAGTTTATTGATTCATATCAGTACCACTATATACAAGCACCAATTTTTACATAAAATGCAGCACTTAGCGAAGAGATGGACTTCTTAAAACCTCAGTACTCTGCTAAGAACAGAATCATGTTATACGCACCAAAAAGCCGATAGGACAATTTCTAAACTTCCTGACCTAACTTAAGTTCTGACATCAAAAACTAAATTTCTTTAATCAAACGATGTAAAGGAGAACAAAAAATGAAAGGAAAAAAAACAAGTAGCTGCTTCTTGACTATATAAATATTCAATTTCGAAAACAGAGAGATTGGTTTATTCGCTACTGATGAACTTTAATTTTATGCAAAACATCCTTAAAGAACAATTATTTCATGACCCTTCGAACCTGACTCTAGACGAACGCCCTTCTTGATCACTATCCACAAAAAAACAACCCAGAACAAAGCAGCAACTTCAAGATCACCACCTTGAATGCCAAGCTGTCGAAAACGTCTTCTCTGATTGTAAGCACGTCTTTCTTCCGAGCTCATCCTCTGATAACGCAATCGTGCAGCCTCTGCACGTCGAGCTCGGATTCGTTTTTCCCTTAGTTGTTCATTTATTGCTGGATCATCTTCTATATCTTTCGATTGTCGTAGAAGTGATTCCAATTCCTCCAGCTAAAGTATATACATAAAGCATGTACTATTCATTAATATATATATGCATACTTTGAAAATGCTTGATTTCCAAAAATTCCTACTTCTTTGTCTTTTTGTCGTTTACGTTTCTGTGCTTCAGTCCTCTTCTGATTTACCTCCTTTCGCTCCTCTAGAGTCATTCGTTGATACCTTTGGCGTGCTGCATCCGCTTGTTTTTGCCGTTTCAATTGTAGTGCGGCAGCAGTATCGGATCCACTCAATGAACATGTCTCACTGCTACCACTTTTACTTGCGAAATCTCTGCAAGATCACAAAATCTGAAACTTGGTGCTGGCTGTAGCACCTTTGAGAACCAAACAACATTTGCACAATTTTGAAAAAAAAAACTTATTTATGCAATAAAAAAATGTATTTAAAAATATTTCCTTTGACTTACTTGCCATTTTCAGCGCCAGCTGATGCGGTTTCAGATAGAAGACCGCGTGAATTTGCATTGATTGTTGCCGAAGTTGATGGGTGCTGCTGATCAACATAATAATGTTCATAAATTATTTGCTGCTGAGTATTTGACTGCCCATCACTAGCCAGCTAAGGTATATTATTAGTAGTTATATCATTTAATTGAAAAACTCACGCAGTTCTAAAACAGTTCAAAAAGTAAGAAATTTGTGACCAAACTCAAATTTGGACGATTTTGTATTAAAAAATCGAAGGGCGATTTAGTTTTGGTGCCACATGCTAGTTCTTATGTTCTGTAAGCAAAATGCATAATTTACCTGTACGGGTGCCAACTGCACATGAGAAAGTGGGACCGCCGTAAGTTGCGCAACTGAACTGGCAGTGTCAACTGTTCCCACGGATGCAAGAGTGCCTCTCCCACTTGCTGGTATTAGGCCCGAAGCATCATTTATTTGAACACCAGCTGGCAACACAGCCACCTAAGAATGAATTTTTGAAATCTGACAAATAAAAATTAAGAACCATTTCATATCGAACATTGCACTCTCAAAACATACATATTCCTTGCGATCCTCGACAGCCGGAGGTAGAAATGCCCCAGTACTATGAAATGGAGATCCAGTTGAAGTGTAAAACGTTGGTGTAACGGTAGATTGATAGAGAACTGAAGTTGAGCAACCAGATGATTGAAACTGCACGGACGTTACAGCAGGGCCAATATTAGTTGTAGGTAAGCCTATAATTTCACTTTTTCAAGACAATTTTTTTAAAAAACATCGAAATTATTGAAAATGAACTCATTAAACAAAATGAAATGAACAAACCATCAAGGATTTGCGACTGTCCCATAATTTCGGAACCTGCAGTTGAGAAAAACGCACGCTGGCTCATTTTGCTTAAATAAAGGTAGCATAAGCTATCGTAATCCCAATAATCTGCAGATATTAGGAAACAAAATACTGTTCAAATTTTCACTAATAGTGAATGTCTGATGGAACGAATTCTGAAATGAACATTTAAAACAAATGTAGGCTGTTCTCCTGAAACTTCCCATTCGATATCTGAAATTTATTTTCCAGATTGATAACAAAATATGAAAATGTTGGAAATTGATTAAATATTTAAATCTAACAAAAAGGTAACAGAACGCTTGTCTCAAGCAAATTACAGTGGTTCATATTAAGCCTCGGCGAGATCAGCAAGTTTATTCAATGAATCTGCGATTAAAATGAAAACACTTGTGAACAACTGATGAAAATTCAAATATTCCGAAAAATTTTATACATACATAAGCTGGGAAAATCAAACAATAAACTCTTCCCTTCCAGCCTGGGAAGAAATTACATTTTCAAAAAATTCATAGTCTGTGATTATCAATACCACAAAACTTTCAAAAATTTTTGCATTTCTTCCTAAAGTCCAAACATAACACTCCAGGATGCTACGAAGTGGGAGACTAGATAATATTGTAAAAACATAAAAAAAATTGTCCTGACTGCTATTTAATCTAGAAGTCAAAATCGAATAGAAATTAGGGAAGTTTCATATACTAACACGATCATTGTCAACATAATTAAGATCAGTGAGCTTAAATGTGAATGTATCCGGTTATTCAAAATTGTAAAGTAAGAAAAAAATTTGAAACTAAAGCAATGAATTTCCTAGAGCTAAATTAAGAAGTGAAGCTCTGTGAAGAACAAAACTCCAGAGTGAAATGAAAACGGTAGAGCTAAGACAGATACGGAATGATAGAACCCAAATTATTACTGCATAATATAAAATATTAAAAGAGCAGAAAAGAACCTGAGAGTACACTCAACATGAACATTACTGCAAGGCCGTACATTCTAATACATATTTATGATATCAGCAATACATTCAATCCGTTCCCATCATTGTTACATATTCATCTATTCTCAAACAAAAAAGAATGCTTTACAAGACTTTCTTTTAGACAATAGTCAGCAGCATTAAAAAAACCTGGCACACTATGCCAGATCCATTTGCGCCATGCACCTCTTTTGCCCCTTTCAATTCTTACTCGAAATTAATCTCTTTGCATCACTATATATCGTGGGATAGCAAAGGTGTCAATATTTACTTCATACATATTGATAGTTGATTGATATCTGCGCAGGGGGTAAAAAAGACGTCTGGAGCACAGGAACCTGGCTCAAAGTCTAGTGACCCAATAAAATTTTTGAAAACATGGAACCCATGTTTAAGCTAAGTTTTAATATTTAACAAAATAAAAGAAATGAACAAAGGACATTCAGCGTCAATGGCATTCATACCGAATGAATTTCAAAACAAATATTATTTAATGAATATAATGCAGAAGTCTTTTTTACAAAAAATAGCAATTCGCTCATTTATATTATCTAAAAACTGAAAACAAAAGGGAAATATTCCCTTGCTTTACTATTTATAGGGATTCAGACATTAATCAGGTTCCTGGCGCCAAAGGTATTACCGGATTATAAAACATAAATGCAGCACACCCCAATGACTGAGTTGCAGTGTCATTCACAATATTGGAGTTTCCAAAATAAAAAATTACTTAGGCTCTTGGAGGCACTGTTGCATATGGCGTAAGTAATTGTTGTTGTAGATGTTGTCCAACCATCATTTGTCCGCCTGGGGTCACAGTATACTGAATTTGTTGTTGCTGTTGTGAAGACTGATTCTGGATTTGCTGAGGATGAATTTGCTGCACCTGAAGCTGTGATTATTTTGATAATAAATGCAAAAAAGAATTAACTTCACTAACAGTATTTCTCGGTCAACTAATTATATTTTCATCTTCTTTGTGCAATCTCAAAAGATCAGTAATAAATGGCCTTCATATCTTTAATCTATAAATGTTAATGAATTTCGAAGTTCAGAGTCTTTCATTATTTGCTATTTTATCATAAGTCACTTTATTTTTTCGTTGTATTGAAAAACATTTAAAATCCTCGAAATTAGGCTATAAAAAAAGTAATAAAAAAGGTAAGACACAATGTAAAATTTATTGTAAGAAGTTATCTAAATCGAAACAAATTTAGCATTATATTAACCAAGAATTACCTTGGCATAGTCTTCACTATCCAAATGAAATAAACATCTCGTTTTTATCAAATACCTGAACTTGTGGAATTTGCGACATTGCCTGCTGCTGCATAGACTGGTTTGTCTGTTGTGACTGCACTTGTTGTGCCTGAATTTGAGCGGTTTGAATCTGCGATGGCTGAATCTGCGCAGCCAACACAGTTCCACCTGGCAACACGCCGCTACTATTCGGGATTATTGCTGTGTTCGGTAAAACCGTAGTTACATTTGACTGAGGCTGCTGAACAACATGCGCTGTAAGGTAAGCACCAGTAGGAGTATTTGCAGAGGAAGTTCCTCGTTGACGCATCAAAGCTTGTTGGGCCTAAAGCTGGATTTATCGGTAATTGGAAAACTTATTATGCATCAGAAATTGTTTAAATTGAAGCATGAACTTATATCTAAAATTATCAGTGCTGTTCAATATGGTTCAGTCAAAAAGCTTCAAATTTACGTGTCTACATCGCGTCTAAAGCACTAAAGACTTTTTGTGAAAAGAAAGTAAATTTAGGCAAATCAACTCTGATAAAGTGATAAAAAAACAACACTTTAACATTTGTAAAATTATTTCACTCATAGAACACATGTAGAAAAAAATACCTGCTGTGTTCTCTTGATTACATCTCTCTCCAAGGTTGAAAGTGCGTCAAATTGTTCTTCTTGGTTACGTTTTCGGCCACGATTCGCATTGTTCTCAGTTTCCTCAGCATGCTCAATTCGCTTCCGTTTTGGTGTATACCGCTTTTGGTTATAGGCCTTCCTCTGCTCGGGTGTCATTCTCTGGTATCTGGAATTCCTGCTTAGTGATATAGCCATAATTCTGAAGAAAGATTATTCTACATTATTCGTCAGTAGTGAAGAAAACCTATGATATTAATAAACATAATACCTCAGTCTAGCAGCTTCCGCTCGTTTAGCATTTCGAACAACAATCTGTTGTGCTCGATCTAAGGCTTCGCCATTAATACGTCCAATCGGCATTGCAAGCAACATTTCTTCTTC